GATTTATACTATTTAAATTTCCTTTTGAAAATGTGATAGTCTACATTTCTGTGCACTATTTTATCCATTTTCCATTTGTTGCAAATAACAGCTTGCTTAAATGAAATTGTATTCCCCTCAAGGGTATGACGTATTTTCTCATTCTTATCCTTTTTTTCTCACTTGGTATTGATTTTGTAACAAGTAGGGAGTGTGACAGTATATAGCTTATTCAAAAATGACACCCATATTGGTAACTAAGTATTTCATGTTAAAATATAATTGTTCTTTTTTATGATCTTACTTGGTGCACATCACGTCCATGTCTCCTGACTAATAATGCTACCTCTCTACTCAATAAATTCTAGTAGCTCCCTAATATTTCTAGGATCAAATATAAACTATTCTGTTTAGCATTTAAATCTCTCCATAACCTTGCCTATTCCATACTTCCTGGTCTTCTTCCACATTACTTTTTTTCCACGTACTCTATGGTTCAGCCATACTGGCCCTTCTGCTCTTCTTCGCACATCTTACTCCAGCTCCCATCTTCTTGCTTTTACAATGGCTGCTTGCCATGGCTGAAACGCACTCTATTCCTTATCCCCATCCTCACTGTTTCTTGGAATCCCTAGTTTCCTATAAGATTCAGCTCAAGGACCACCTTCTATATGAAGCCTTTTCTGACCCCCTACCTCAGCTACCAATGTCCTCTCTTTTTAAACTCCTTTGTGTTCATTTTTTATATATTTATATGTACATGCCATCTCCCTCCTTCTAGAGGGTAGGAAACGGTTCACTTTTGTCTTTGTATCCCCAAATGCTTACCATAGTCCCTGGCGTATGATAGGTGATTAATAAATGCTTGTTGATTAGTTAATTGATTCTTAAAGTATTCATAGCATATAGGTACACAGTTTAAAGTCTTAAGACTCTTTACTTTCTACCTTGGAAACTATATGTTCCAATATCCTTCTTTGCTCCCCTCACCTATGTCTACCTTTTCATGAAGTCATTTAGCATTAAAACATCTGATAATTCAATTTGTAGATTCTCATTACATTTTTCATAGTATTTCTATACTTCACAGAAATATTGTTAAGAATACCTCAGAGAAATATAAGCCATTATTTTCTTATTGTCATCTTAATAGTAAAGTTTCATGTTTTGGACAAAATAGTTCATCACTCTTAAAACAACCTGAATTGAATTTAGAAGATATTAAACCATCTAATTCCAATCTGAGGTGGTTACAAAAAAAGGCCTATGTACGGTGTTCACTAATATGAACTGAATATAATAAGGGAAACTGTATGACGCAACAGAAAAGAGTTGGACAGGAATCAGGAAACCTGGATTTACCACTAACTAGCTTCATGACCTTAAGCAATCATTTCACTTCTGTGGTCCTCGAGTTGTTCTTTTTTTTTTAATTATTAAAATCTGCAGCCCTGAGTGTCTAAGACTCAGGATTAAAGAGTGATTTTGGATATTGATACCACCATTGACCTTTAATAGGATCAAATCACAGAGGCTTTGGATATTTTTGCTAGACCTCTAAGAGAATCATAGAAACAGTTCATTTATATTCTAAAGAGAGTTTAGCATATTCTGAGAACTTGACAGACTTTTTTTAGGAGAACTTTAGTTTGTCCAGGAGAACTATATTTTATTTTGGCTTTGAGGAAGAGACTTTATCCTACATTTGGAAATGGGGTAGAGGATGACAGGTAGATCAGAGAGCCAGAGAAGAGAATACAGGTGTAGGGGTGTGTGTGTGTGTGGTAAGGAAAGGACTCAAGCTGAGACCAGGACAACTGGTGACAGCTAGTGAAAAAAAAAA